AGGATATCATGCCATGGATTTTTTGTTGTTGTTATTTTCCTCTGAAATGGTTTGTTAGATTTCTAATACATCTAAAGAAATCAGAATAAAGCAATTCTCAAAATACTCGGTTGTACTCCTCTGCCCTCAGCTTCCATTTGTTTACATTACAGTCCCTCTGATGTGACATTTATAAACTCACTCATATTGAGCTTTGTCGTGTGCCATTTCTGTGATTCATGGTGATAAGAATGGATTGAGCCGCCTTTAAGTGCATATTCCAAACCCACCTGTGTCTTGCTCTGTAAACACGTACCATAGGAAACTTTCAGCAAAATAAACTTGATTGGAAATGAATAAAGAATTATGACTGACATGCTGGAGCTTCAGTCAAAGGGAATTGAACTATTCCACGGCCGATCTGTTTTATTTTAATTTTCCCAATGGCATCTTAGGAATTATGCAGCCCCGAGGTGTTAAATACATTAAAATGTTTAGTGGAGGGCTCAGTGTTTCCAATAAATGTAGATTACTCATTTTGAGAGATATGCCAATGAATTTTTTTTTCTTTCCACATCAAAATGTAGTATTTAGTTTTACATTCCTAACCAGTCTGAGGGGCATGTGAAATGCTGGTTTTAACATCACCGTCTAAATATATATTTCCCCAATTTTCTCCCAAAACATCTTGTAAGTACACCTACTTCGTTCCTAACATGTTTTGTATTTACGATACTAGTACTCATGGTTGTGTCAGCTGTTGGATATAGTATTTCTTGTTCACAAATAAACCTAATATATAATTATATTCACTCTTATCTGTGTGTTCCTAATTTTAATTTTGAACATACTTAAAGAAAATGACCAGATAAGTAAAATCCACCTTTGATTCTCTAGTAAAATTTATTTCATTCCCTTAGAGACATTTTATGTAATACATTATTTAATAAAAGAAACACATTAAGTAGTTGCATGTTCATAATTCCTGTAACCTAAATATAAAAAGTACATGTTAAACTTCAGATTGTTTTGTTAGGAAGTCAGTATTATTTATCTCCCCTCAGTTTTCTAAGAACTTGGATGAAACCTAATTTTACTTCAAAGAAGAAACAGGACCATCTATGTAATTAAAATTTAGTTTACAAGCCTAATAAAATAATATTACTAAAATTCCTCAATTAAAGAATTTTTGTAGTTTTAGCTTATGCTACTATTTTATAAGTGACCAATATCTGTGTCCAAAAGGCTTGAAAGGAACCCTCATGTTTTTATATCAAATTATATATTAATATTAATAATTAATTTATCTCCAATGAGCTGTTTCCAAAATCTGAAAATCATGCAATATACTTCCAAACACACTTTCATTTAAAAATGTACTCATTTAAAATTGATAGGGGGCAGGATAGAAGAGGAAACATTATGAGGGATGAATAATACTGAAGACATTTTGAAAAAGTCACATGCAAGCCTATTATAGTAGAAAGCACTTGCATATATGATCTCACATGGATATGACAATATGTACAAGACATGTGTGTAGAAACCAGCTGAAAAATCTCAGCATGGAAAGAAACCCCAACTCTATTTGACAAGCTATTGGCAACTGATATCTGCTGGAAGAAGGAGATTCAGTTTTCTTTAAGAGTGTAGCCATGGTAAGTTGATCATGCTTTCATGAAGGCCATACATCCATACCTATATAAGCTGCAAATATTGGGGACTTTTTGGGTATATGATGTGGCTGGGAAGACAAGTTGTCTAAGGGAGAATTTTGGGGAGAGGAGGAGATACAATTAAAACACATTATAAAATTCTCCAAGAACTAATAAAGTAAAAATAAGTAGGTTTCATGTATTTATTATAGCATAACCTACTCCCACAATTAAGCACTATCTATGTAAGTGCATTTCTTATATTTAAAATTTCACCTATATACTCAACAAAATTAATATGTTTCCCAATACCCTAAGTATACTGATTATTATTTTCTTTATACCTCTTCTTTTGCTAATGTAATATAAATATAAGGGGAAAAGGCAAGTGTTTTTTTTTGGGGGGGGGGCAAAGTTTGCTTTTTTATTTTTGCCATCCAAGTACTTATATCTAGGCCTTTTGTGTGAAGTTTAGTTAGAATATTGTTAGTGTATAGGAATACAATCAAATCATGTTAATTGAGGATCATTTTATTCTTTCCATGTGCATGATGGACACACCTCTCTTTTAAAACCTGTACCTTGGGAAACATTGTTATGAATTGTTAAAAATCAAGTTAAAAATCTGTGGTGCCTTTTCCTTTAATTGAAATGTTTTCATCAAAGAACATTAGTACAAGCTAGAGAAAACTAAATCTGTTATTAAAGATATTCTCTAATATGGAAAAGACTGAGTTAAAATTCCAAAGCCGTGTAGGTTATTACAGATTGAGCATTCACTTATAGAAACTTAATTGAAATGCAGGATGCATGGTTGAAAGACAGAAACGGATGTTAATTCAAAGGGAAACAGAGAAGGAAATAGAGATTTAAAGTATCACCCATGATCCAGATGTCTATAATTTTATGATCATGGAATAGAAAGTGGGAAAATTGTTTTGTTTTCCTCATGAGAAAATATCTGTGTTGTGCCCAACAAAGAGTTTGATGATAAAACTGGGGGCCACCTTTAAAACCAAAATTGCCAATCCAGAGGACTGGGGACTGCCATTGCAGCACCTTTTAAAATCAGTCACCTCAATAAAATGTCTTTCTCTTTGAAAGGTGTAAATATTACCCTGTGACCAAGGAGACAGAGAGCCAAAAGCACAATATGTAATCCAAATATCTCATTCCTGATATCAAAGGTAGAAGCAGTACAGAGGATATAATGACTCAGGATCACACATGGTACAACCTTATCTCACAAATCTAACCAAAGAACTTGATTTAATGCCTAAGTAGAGGAGATGAAGAACACGTGGGAAGTAATAGCTCATGTCATTACAGAGACAAGGTCTTGAGTCATTTCCTTGAAGTGTTCCATGAAATAAGGACCACAGGAATACAGAAGTTATCCATTTCATAGATAGAATGAAACGTAGTTCTTGATGTAATAAAAACATCTTGTTCAACACCTACCATGCTTTAGACATCTGTCAAGTGTGAGTCATTTCCTGTGCCCTGCGTTTATTGCTGTGATAGTCAGAACAGTGTCACTTAGATCTTAGTGTGACAGGTGCTTACATTTGTTTCTGTTGTCCGTACACATGGCACCTTTGGAACCTCCATACATCTGATGACTGCTCATAGTCAGCAGATGAGTACAGAGAGAGTACTTGAAAAGGTCACTTACAAAAAGTTTAAAACTCTGACTCACAGACAATTATCTGCTGGAAAACAGCTTCTTATATACTTTTGCCTTTGGCTTCTCTGCTCTCCATATTTCTCATCTTAGGAAGATGGTCACCAAAACTCATTCTCCACTTTCAGTTTACCTGTATTCTCTACGTCTTTCTCTTTAAACTAGCAATCGACACCATTACTATCATGCCTATTTAATTCCATTTGACATCTGCTTCCTTGAGGATTCAAAACAGCACAATGATTTTTTTTTGAGAATTACAAGTGTGATGCCAGAAATAAATTGGAATTTTGAGTGTTGAGTATGAATACAATCTTACTATTAGAGACCAAATTTGCTATTTAACACTACAGTTTCTCTTTACCATCTCAGACTTGCTGTCCATTTGAGCTTTCATGGGTGAACACTTCTCGTGACTCCTCATCATGCATTTCTCTTCCCCTCTATCGCATTCTCTAATCGCATTAGCCACTGCAGGCTCCTGAATGGGATGGAAGGGGTAAGGTATAAATTCAGTGAGGGGTTTTACACCCTTTGGGAATGTGAGGTATTCTTTTATGGTGACTTTAACTGTTTCCTTCTAAACCCTTTTCTTTGACAGTTTCTCAGTCAAGCTGGATGCTACTTATCCCAGCCATCAGGAACCTTGAATCACTCAGTTCCTTTACACGGGGATCCTTTCTCATTTCCATCACTTTTGATGAGTATCACACACTGCTTCCTCACCACCCCCCAAAGTGGGTGAATCTGTTTAGAAGTTTGTACCATATATAAACCTTCTTCTAATGAGTACCCAATATGCACATCGATCCTAATAAAGCCTCTTCTTTTGGTACAGCTCACACACTGTAGCTTTTGCTACTTAGCTTCAGACAAACACTGAAGCAATTTCATGACTGATAACAATAACACTGCTGTTCAGATCTCTTCATGTGAAAAATGTTTACATTCTATTGTCCATATTCAATGTCCATATTCTTTGGACCAATCTCTACTTTCAATGACTACTCATAGTTGGCAGCCATCTTCTTCTGCATAGTTTCTTGAATTAAAAAGCAGCTTCTTCTAAAATCAAGTCCAGCTTTCAAGGGAAAAAAACAGCATAGCCTACCTTCCAATGATTCCCACTGATTGAAAAGTATCTTACCCAAAACTTCTCATCAATAAATTTACTTCTCCCTCTAATTCTGCCTACTTTTTAGTCTTCATTGTTTTTACAGTTCTAAAAGTTGTAAAGAGAGCTCGGGCTGTAGCTCAGTGGCAGAGAGATGGCCTAGCATGGACTAAGCTCTAGGCTTGACCCCTACCAATCCAAAAAATAGAAGATAAAATTGTCAAAACAATTTTCAAGTAGTTTCTTGGAAAATCTTTGGGGCATGAAATCCTACTCAATTTTCTTTTTCTTTTTTTTCCTTTTACTTTTTTATTTATTTTTTTTTTGAGACAAGGTTTCTCTGTGTAGCTTTGTGCCTTTCCTGGAACTGGCTCTGTATTCCAGGTTGTACTTGAACTCACAGAGATCTGCCTGGCTCTGCCTCCCGAGTGCTGAGATTGAAGGTGTGCGCCACCACCGCCCAGCTCATCCTACTCCATTTTCAGATTTAGAGTTTGTTACATCACAATTGTGTTTGTGATTTTTATTATTATTACAGGGGAACACATGCCGCAGTGCACATGGGGATATCAGAGGATATTTGTGCATATCCATTCTCTTCTTCCTCCAAGTGGGTTCACAATGTAACTCCAATGATCAGTCTTAAGACCAACCTTAGAAATAGAAGTGCACAATGAAGGTAAATAATCAGCTCCAATTCCTTAGATGTACTAATTGGATTACTCTGTCCTCTTTGGTAAAAAAAAAAAAGTGTTTTACAGTGCCTGTTAATCATGCTTTCTATACTTTTAGAGCTTCTAGGTAGTATAATTCAGGTTTACCAGTATACAAATAGGGATTAGAGGGCAATTTATTTTAAAATGACACAATTGGGTGTAAATAAGATTAACTTGAGTTAAAGAAAGTACCAGTCAAATAAGATCATGAGAGTATTTTAAGACTGTTAACTACAGTAATAGGGGACTTATCACTACTCAATGATGATAATGTTGCTTTTGAATGAAATTACTAGTAAATTTTCAAGGTTTGTAAACCACTCTCTGTCCCTACTCACTTCAGCTTTAAAATCAAACAGTAGACAAATATGTTTGTTGGCCTAGTGAATTCTGAAGGACAAAACACTAAACAATTCTGTAATTGATTGTTTTATATTAGAGAAAAAGAAACTATGTTCTGCAAAACTCATCAGTGCCATCATTATACATAATAGTTGTTCTCTCATAAATGATTTAGGTCATTGTCTAACTTTAGGAAAATATGCACTACAAACACTGCAGAACACAGGCATGTGGGGTACAGTGAACTGAAAGTTTTTCATGTCTTATATTTATTTATTTATTTATTTATTTATTTATTTATTTATTTATTTATTTATTTATGTTTTTTGAGAGAGAGTTTCTCTGTGTAGTTTTATGCCTTTCCTAGAACTCTCTCTGTAGACCAGGCTGGCCTCAAACTCACAGAGATCTGCCTGCCTCTGCCTCCTGAGTACTGGGATTAAAGGCGTGCGCCACCACCACCACCACCACCACCACCACCTGGCATAAGTTTTGCATATTTTAAATTTCACAACTGAGGGGAAAAAATGACAAAAATTCCCTAGTATGCAGCCCCACTTTTCCATGAACTCTGTTCTTCTTACTCACTGAAGTTTTAACTCAGACTTTGAAGTTCTCACATTCCAACTGAAGCACTTGCTTCATTTTCTATCTAGAACATTTGTCTCATATGTTAGTGAATGGTGGAGATTCCTAGGATTGCTTTCACCTTCTCCCTCTAGAGAAATAAAAATTGTTCTAACAATTCTTTTAAAAGCTGATTGTCTAATAAATACAAGAAATTGTAAAACCATTAACTGCAGTAAAATGAGACAAAAATTAAATAGGCATGTGGTGTTGGAGTAGCACAGATGATCCATAATAAGGTCACCCACAGTGCTACATAGACACCATTCATATCACAAAATGTGAATAATAGTGCTTCTGCATCTAAAGATAATGTCCCCTTAAAGGTGTCCATCACCAATGAAGGATCTGCTGAATCAAATTTTGTTGAGCTGCACAGATGTTAATTTGCACACTGACTTAGTGTTGTATGTGCTTAGCTCAATTTCAAACATAAACTCAATCCATAAGATTCCTTTAGCATGAAGTACCTTCATTCCCTTTATACTTTGTGACTGGATTAATGATTTCCATGTTTGCGATTTAAATATATGTTCAATATTCTTTTCCTTTCTGTGATGCAATTTTAGTTTAATAAAGAGGCTTAATGGATAAAAAACTTCCATAAAAGAACCTTATATTCAGATAATTTTATGGATAACTATCTAAAATAGCTAAATAAGATAATATTATTTTTATATAAAATATTCTAGAAAGCATACAAATACTTATAATTTATTATGAGTCAAATATTACTGTGATGTATAAATGATGAAAAAATCCCCTTCTCCCCCCCAAAAAACAATAAGAACGCTGAAAAATATCTAGTCTAGACCCATGTATAAATGTTCTTTGAAATAAAGCTAGCATAATGAATCCCATAACAAATTGAAGGTATATTATGCCAGCATCTTAAGCTAATTATAACATTCCTAAACTAATATAAGTCACTGCATTCATAGGCTAACTGAAAAAAATAACATATGCTTGAATGAAAAAGCACATAGAAAATATATTCAAAAGTTTTCCTGCTGAAAGTGATTAATTTTGAAATATTCCATTAGCATAGTTAATAGAGAAAGACTCACCATACCACTTGTGGTGATTTGAATATGAATGTCCCACATAGGCTCATATATTTGAATGCTTGATTTCCAGCAGGTGGGTTGCTGGGAAGGATTAGGAGGTATGGCCTTGTTGAAGTAGGTGTAGGCTGGCTGGAGAAAGTGTACACTGGACATAGGCTTTGAGGTTTTGAAAGCCCAAGCAAGACCAAGTGCGTTGCTCCTCCATGTCACCAATTCCAGCAGAATAATATGTAGAGCTCTCAGGTACTTGTCCAGAACCATGCTTGCCTGCATACCCACAATGATGATAATGGACTAAACCACTGAAACTGTAAGCACACCCCCCCCCCCCCGCAATGGAATGCTTTCTTCTGTAACAGTTGCTTTGATCATGGTGTCTCTTCATTGCAGTAGAAACCCTAAGATGCCACTCTTTCTTCAAAGTGAAAAGCCAGGCTGGTCCACTCAAGTCTCTGCATTCTTCTTGAATATCTTTCAATCAACTAAAATGTAAAAAGCTAAATAAAGATGAAAAGTATATGGGGAATGAAAACTCAGAACCAATTTGTAGACAATGTAATTTTCTAAATCATATCCATTAAATGACGAAGAGAAAACTATTGGGCTATTTTAGATGCATGATGACTAATTTTTGTATTTATTGTAATAATGCTACACTCTACTAAAGATGATTTTTTTTTAAACATGTATCTTGGTTCTTTGAGAATGTCATGCACTAATACAGTTTTTACATCATCTCCATCTCATACTTTTCCTTCTCAACTCAAATCCCAATATTTCTCCACTTCATTAATTATTTACACACACACACACACACACACACACACACACACACACACACACACACACACACTGTATATACATATATGGACCTTGGTGGGTTGGAGCCCCGGGGCACAGCGGAAAGTCACTCATACCATGTGATAGCACTCACATGAAAAGTTTTATTTATTAAAGGGGGAAGGAAGAAAGGAAGAGATGGAAAAAGAAAAAAAGAGAGAGGGAAAGAGAGAGAGAGAAAAAGAGAGAGTAGTGGTGCAGGCCCCCTCATGACAAGAGAGAGAAAAGGGAGGGTTTTCTCTTAAAGAGGATTTTTCATAAGATGATGTTGTCAGGACACTGGGCAGGTCCCCACAGGGTAGGCCTGAATGCTAACACTTAACATAAGGGATTTGGGACGCAATAGCCTATCTGGGGCTCAGGCCTAGTGAAGACAGACTTTTTCCTTCTGTCAGCCATCCTCATCTGTAGGTGGGGCCACGTGAGATTTCTCTCCACCCACATTGGACTGACAGCTGGCATTGCCATTGTGCAGGTCTTGTTTTAATCAACATATTGTTAAGAGAAGAAGATACACCTTCTGATGGCTGATGACAAGTTTTAATATATTGAAACACAGATAGAGGCTTTTCCAAATGTTTCCAGGAAGCAACTTGTAGGCTACTCATTAAAGTCTTTTGGATGCCAAAAGATTTTTATCCCTGTGAAACCTGGAAATAACAACGTAATACGATTTCAAATAAATAAAAGTTTAATCAAGAGATAAAAGTATAAAACTTTAACATTGCCATCAGTTCAATATTAATTTTGAAAAAAAAATCACCTTTGAGAGATGAGTTAAAACATTTGTATATGAGTTTCCTTGAAATAAAAACATATAAGGAATGTTTTATTATTACATGGTTGTCAATAGCTGTGTTATTTAAAAACAGGCCTTCCTCATAAAAGATAGAGTGGTGGCTCTCAGAGATGTCATGGGGAATGAAATAGGTAAGGAATGGAGAATGATTAACCAAGAGTCTAGAGTGAGGCAGGACAGATGGATTAGCTGTAAGAGTTCTCACTTGTCCTTCAGGGGTCCATAGTTTGTTTCCAGTAAACATGGTGTGCAGCTCAAACCACCTGGGACTAGAGTTCCAGAGGATGGGATGCATTTGAAGGGCCCCTTTAGGTACTCCCATGTATGTGCACCAACACAGACACAGACACAGACACAGACACACAGACACAGACACACACACACATACACACACACAGAGAGAGAGAGAGAGAGAGACAGAGAGAGAGAGACAGAGACAGAGAGAGACAGAGAGACAGAGACAGTAAATCTTAGAAAGCAACAAAGAGTATAAAATTTCACCTAAGTTAAAATAATGGGTTTTGAGATTTGTGTCTCTATAGTCAACAGTGTGTATTTCACAATAAAACAATTCAAAATACCTGAGTAAATTTCATATGTCTCCCCATGAAAATGTTTAGGAGATTTTGAGTTTTTTGGTATCTTTTCCACTACTCTATAAGTTCAACAAACATTATATTTTAACTAGTAATTTACATAATTGTTTGTTTTTCAATTAAGAGAATATAATTAAAATCTTATTGTTTAATGGCAAAGATACTCATTGGAAACACAGCAATTTTTGATGCTGTAACCAAATGGAACATTTTCAGGTTCTCATATTAAGTAAGTAATGCAACTTAGTAACTACAACCCTAAGAATCTTTTGTAATAAGCAAATAAATAAGTTTTGGGGACATTATATGAGACTTGTATAATATATCCATTTAACAAATCATATCTTTATAAACAATTTGCATATTAAATATTATTCTTTAGGTAATGAATAGTGCTAATTAAGTTCATGCACTGATATCCATTTAGAAGTGTGATAAACTTTACCACTATCTTTACATTTACAATGTATCATGGTCACTTGGTGTTATTGCTTCCATTCTGGATGAGGAAACTGTAGCGATGGCATTCAGTCACACAGCCTGGTTCTAAAACCAGGGTCTTCACAATGACTCATCTTTCCCTCTCACTCATAATTTAGTAGGTACCATAGAGTACAATAATTTTTGGTTGTTGGTGTAAGTACACGTCTCTAGACAAGCAGTTAGTTAATCTGGTTCTTCAGAATTTAAGAACTTACTCCTGAGAATTTTATAAGTCCCTATAGATAAAATTAATGACCTTAATGATATAATGGTATCATATTAATGTTTAAGGATCTTAATCTTAATATATACTTTATGTTCACATATAACAATTTAACTGAGTTAAAATATTCCATATTTCAAGAAATCTCCTTAAGTCTCACAAAGTGCTAAAGAGAGGTTTGATAAGACCTCTAAGTTGCAAGAAGTTCTTTTTCTTCCTGAAATGAACCAGGTAATTAAGGACTGTTTTTTTTTTTCCGCAAGATTGTATAAACAGAACTGCTGAAGGGTACTATCAAAACAACTAAGCTCCTGAAAGAGGCAGTAGGCAGTTGATCTGCCTTTAGGAACCTCAGGCTCACTGAGCTGCCTGGAAGAAACATTCTCCCAGCTTTACAGCTACTGGCGATTACATCAGCAATCTCCAGGTTTCCAGTTTTTGTGAGCTGTCACCCATCCTGGAGTAGACTTTTGGTGATGCATCTGTCTTTGAGTGACATCTGCTCCTGTAAGTAATTTTCACCTGTACTCCTGTGAACAACCTCAATACACTCACTGGTAACCAAGGTGGACTTTGGTGGTATGCTTCCTTTGGTGTATCTGCTCCCTAATGGGAGTTAATACACATTTCTTCACATCTCCTCAGAAATAGGTTTACACCTCAAAAGTATATACTGTTCCTTTTTGTTACTGATGTTTTGAGACAGAGTCTCAAGTATCCCAGGATGGCTTCCAGCTCACTAAGTAGTAGAGAGTTATCTAAAAGTCTTGTTTCTATACCCCAAGTGCTCAGATTGTAAGTGTGATTCCATGACAGCCAGCTTCAAGCATATGTTCTCATTGATCTACTTACTACCTAAGTAACATTAGATGAGGCATAAAATTAGTCATCATTTTTGAAATATAATTATAGTTATAATAGGCAACTCTAAGATTCATGTGATTCAAGAAATAATAAAGAAAGGTCTTCATCAACCCCACATCTGACAGAGAACTGATATCCAGAATATATAAGGAACTCAAGAAATTAGACATCAAAATGCCCAACAGTCCAATTAAGAAATGGGCTATAGAACTAAACAGAGAATTCTCAATAGAGGAAACTCAAATGGCTGAAAGACATTTAAGGAATTGTTCAACATCCCTAATCATCAGGGAAATGCAAATCAAAACAACTCTGAGATACCACCTTATGCCTGTCAGAATGACTAAGATCAAAAACACTGAATACACCTTATGTTGGAGAGGATGTGGAGCTAGGGGAACTCTCCTCCACTGCTGGTGAGAATGCAAGATTATCAATGAAAGTAAAGGGAGACTGTTGCCATTTTCTCCAGGGATAAATAGGAATGAAACAGAAAACAATCTCTGCTGTATTTCATAAATTATTTCCTCTATATTTAAGTACCTAACTCTTATATTGTTTACAAATATTATTAGTATTTTGATTTTTAAATATCTCCTTGCTTCACCATGAGATTTCTAAAAAGGAATATTTTAAAATAATTCTACTTTATAAATATATTTTGAGATCTTTTCATAAGTTGATTGTAGGAACTCATGTCTACCCACATACCATGACATGTGCTATTTTTCTGAAATAGAGCAATTATTATGAAAAACTCTTATTGGTGACACATAACACAAGAAATGGCAACTTCAGTCATGTGTACAGAATTAAAAACTTTGCCTAGTGCATGCTATGATTATACTAGCAATGGATGTAATATTAAAAGTAAAGGAAGGAGGAAAAGTAATAGTAGTCATTGTCCCATTAAATGGCAGAATTAAAGCACCCAATAGTATGATTCGCCCTTTAATCTGTTGCATTGAATGCCTTCTTACAAAGATTTTTTTTAAATAAATGGACAGTATATTTAAGCACATATAATATAGATCCCATATCTCCTTCTATGGTTTACTTAAATTGAAAAAGAAGTAAAAGTAGAATGTTTAACTTTTATATGCCCTCAATAATACAGCCATTTTTATTCCAAAGAACAAAGACAGTTTATATAACCAGATACATGTCACTTTATTTTCAAGGGATGGCTGGAGAGATTCAGAACTTGGAAAATATGAGAAATTACCTAAAGTTTCAAGAGAAATAAATTCTGATGGATTGTGTCTATGTTACCAAAATAAACACAGCTAAGAAAACAAGCATAGGTTGATTAAAGGGAAATATCTGTGTCTGGTTTTGTATCAATTTGTAGATCCCTTGTTGTGTGCTATTTCTTGGCTAAGGTTATCATTGGAATGTGACAGTTTCACATGTGATGCACAGTGATAGCATTTCTGTTGAAAATTGCAGTAAGAAATGCATTAACATTTTCCTTTGTGGTTTTCAGGCATATTTTATCTTTTCTCAAAAAGTGTTTTGGTAGTATGCTTTTCAAGTGCTGCAAACAGTGGAAAACTAAAAAATTGTGTTAATGGAATAAATAAAATAATTATTTTGATGTATGTGTGAGGATCTTTCTAGTCAAAAAAAATGATTTTAGACAGCTTTTTGGTACAGATAGATTAATGTCCAAGTGTCAGGATAAATTTAGCGAAAACTTTGAATAGTTTGGCTTGTATAACTCATTACCAAATGATTGTATAAATGGTTACCAGTATAATTTGGGAAGCCACTACAGATAGCTAAAGGCTCCTAGAATAGCAATTTTTCACATTGCTGAGATAAGCATATGAGCATCCGTGGTCACCTTTAGAAAGTATCTTTCTTTGTAAGGATAAGAACGTGGTTAGGTAACTGGCTCAGTGTGAGGACAAATCAATGAACAGAGTGCTTTATTTACTGAACAAATGAAAGATGAGAGTCAGAAATCATCAACTCTGATGTCAAAAATCTCTGTGGTAGTTTTTAATAGGTGCATTAAACAGATGCACAGTAGAGCCTAACAGGTTTAATATTTATTGCAGAAGTCATGATGGAGTTTCCTTATTGGATGCTAGCTTAGGGAAAATGGCAGTACCATAAAAGTCAGTAATTTTAGAATGTTGATCAATATTATGCAGCCACTCAAAGATGAGGCACTTAGAAAAGCGATTTCAAAGGTTCAAAGCGGTTCAAAACATATATTCTTTAAATAAAATGTTTCTCACTTGTAGACACTCAGGATGTCGGTTTTTTTGAGGAAGGTCATACAGTACAAGTCCCAAGATCCAAGAACCATGGAGGGTTGAGCTAGAGAGGGGTCAGAAGTCAGGTACCAAAACACTGCCCAACAGGAGGAAGCAGTTGGGATATTCACTAGCTCATCTGCTTGAAGGTGATTCCCTAGCTCACCTGCTTGAAGGCGATCCCATAGATCAGATGAGTATTGTCTACAAAATTTCCAGGGCATTTTATACATATCTACAAGGGAGAAATTTGGATTTCCCTAATGATAGAAATGATAAATAGTTGAAGAGATAAGAATGCTAATTACACTGATTTGATCCTCATACAGTGTGTAAATATAATAAGCCATCATGCTCTACTCCATAAATGTATATAAATGCAATTTGTCAGTTAAAACAATCATGGCCTCCCATTACCCAAATATGCTTCTTTTATATATAAAAGAAAAGGCGGACAAGAACTACAACCATACAATTGACAATTACATGCTAGAAATTATTACAGACCTATGTGTTTCATTTTATCCAATTCTCATTAATCCCATTCACTAATTATCATATTCCAGCGAGGGCACAGCAGAATGTCTGATGATCAGAACAAGCAGAACTTAAACAGGAGACGATCAACATTGGGAAATACTATACAGGTAAACAATGATAAAGGGTGTTGACTTTTGCTCTGAGTAGTATAAAACATTGGAATGCCATGTTTTGAAAAATTATATTATGGCCCATGTTTTGACAGAATTGTTCTGAGTGCTGATTGATATGTATTATCAAAAGAGACTGGAGAAAATCAACTAAAGCAGAGAGAAAATTTAATGTTACACATTAAATATAAATATGAAATTGAGAGGGTAATGTATTGGAGGAAGCTCATGGGTATTGAGGAAGGAATAAGGGTAGACATGATAAAGATGCATTGTATACATGCATGAAATGTTCAAAGAATAAACTCCTTATAAACAAGTGAGAAAAACGGTGTTTTAAAGATAAAATAGTAACCAACTATACACAGTTACTAAATGAAATAACAAATATTCTATCCACATTTATGCAAAAGTATTAATTTTTAATCTCAATTTACCCAACTAAGAATCCATTGCTTAATCAAAGACAATATGCAGACTTTGAGCAAGTGCACTCTATAATTTGCAGAAGTTTGACTTGGCTTATATAAGAAGACTATATGAGACATCTTAAGTGATGATAGGCAGACACCTGATCAGACCCAAGAGGCAGCGAAATTCACTGATATTTGATTTTATTTGGCTTTCCTTTTAAAAGTCAACTATTGGAGGCAAGCAAGCATGAAGAGAATCTGAGCTACAGTTTTACTATATGTACTACACAGCATCTGAGACTTACCCATAAGTCACAGGAAGAACTCTGGAAAATCACATTGAAAAGGAACCTCCGGTAATCTTAGTTCCTGAAGTTGGATTAAATGACTTCAGCTTTATGGATGCAGAAAGTAGAATGAAGTAAAACTAAATCACTCAAAGGTTATCCATAACATCTTATACCTCAAATTATTTCTGTCAAAATTTCTTACGTAATATTTAGTATTCATTCAAAAAATGATGATTCAAGACAGTTGAAAGCAACATATGGCTGAAAACAAAAACAATTTCAAACAATGAAACAGATTAAAAGATGTTCTGGAATAAAAAATGAGATGGTCAAATTCAGACTTTACTTTTAATATTTTAGAAATTACATATTTATTTTAGAAAATTGGCAAATGGATAGATCTAGAAAAAATCATCCTGAGTGAGGTAACCCAGACTCAGAAAGACAAACATGGTATGTACTCACTCATAGGAGGATACTAGATGTGGAACAAGGATGACTGGACTGCTACTCACATAACCAGGGAGGCTACCTGGAAAACAGGACCTCAAGAAAGACATGGGGATCACCCAATGACGGAGAAATGGATGAGATCTACATGAACAGCCTGGACATGAGTGGGGGTAATGAAGGGTGAGGGTCGAGGAAAAGAGAGCTTGGGGGAGCACGAGATCCCAGCTGGATCAAGAACAGAGAGGGAGAACAAGGAATAGGAGACCATGGTAAATGAAGACCACATGAGAATAGGAAGAAGCAAAGTGCTAGAGAGGCCCACAGAAATCCACAAAGATACCCCCACAATAGACTGCTGGCAATGGTTGAGAGACAGCCCGAACTGACCTACTCTGGTGATGGGATGGCCAAAAACCCTAATTGTCATGCTAGAAATCCTGTCCAATGATTTGAGGGAACTGGATGCAGAGATTCACGGCTAGGCCCCTATGAAGCACTGGGATTCCAATTGGCGAGAAAGAGGAGGGTTTATATGAGTGAGAATTGTTGAGACCAAGGTTGGATGAAGCACAGGGACAAATAGCCAAATAAATGGAAACACATGAACTATGAACCAAAGGCTGAGGGGCCCCCAAACTGGATCAGGCCCTCTGAATGTATGAGACAGTGTATTGGCTTGATCTGTTTGGGAGGCATCCAGGCAGTGGAACCAACCGGGTCCTGTGCTCATTGCATGAGTTGGCTGTTTGAAACCTGGGGCTTATGCAGGGTCACTAGGCTTGGCCTGGGAGGAGGGGACTGGACCTGCCTGGACTGAGTCTACCAGGTTGATCTCAGTCATTGGGGGAGGCTTTGCCCTGGAGGAGGTGGGAATGGGGGTGTGCTGGGGAGTAGGGGAAGGGGGAGAACAAGGGAATCCATGGCTGATATGTAGAACTGAATTGTATTGTAAAATAAAATAAAATTAAATTAAAAAACAAAAACAAAAAAAAATAAAATTGGAAATTTTCATGGCTGAAATAATATTTTAAAAATCAACACACAGATTTAATAGTCTCCTATCAAAACCCAAAGTGGCAATCTGGGATATAATAAATGGGAGTGATGAGTAGAGGAAAGTATATGTGAGACCATGCATGCCCCAGGGAGAAAGGATAGGAAAAAACACATTCAAACCAGAAAAGTAGATGACTGAAATGACAAGTTTGATATTAAGGCCAAAAATGGCAAGATAAATTTTAAAAGATTTAGGGAAATATTAGACAGACAATTAAATTTTTTTAAAAATATTTACTTGTGAGAACAAGAACCCGACTAATCAGTATCAGAAGTACAAGTAAAAATGCTATTAAATGTGAACTAAGAAATAAAAACTCAATTATTGATTATCTACGTCTATATAAATTTCAAGAACCTAATATTTAAAGATAATTTTAAAAATCTAAATAATTTCATTGGGAATAAATTATATATGTGACATCACTAAGTAAATTTTACGTTCACAAAACTTCATTGATGAAATAAAGTTTTATTGAAAAAAGTAAAAGCCAAATATATGATTATACATGAAATCTTTCATTCATTTTTTTTAGAAGGAAAACTCTAATTATGCAAAATAACATAACCTTGATGTGGAAAAAAGATGAGTGTTTAAAAAATACATATAATTAAAAATTATAAACAAACTATTAAGAAACCAATTTAGGATCATTTAGATGTGATTATGTTCTCACTTGAACGCTAATCAGCATAATTCATCAGATAAGTAGACTGAGGATATCTATGCCATTATGTCTGATATATTCTTCACTACATATTAAAATTCTTAGTAATTTACAAAAATGGAAGAAAATTATTTTAAGAGGTTAAATGCTTTATTTTTAAAAAATTCATTTTTCCTTTGATATGTGAAACCTGCCTGGGAAAAAAAGACATGAAATTAAAAGGAGAGATACTGGAGATGCAAAAGGAAAATGGGGAAGTAATGGGATTAGAAGTCACATGTTGAAATGACCAAAGTACATCAGATGCAGGCATGGAAATGCTATAATGAAGCCCCTATGTACCATTATTACATGCTATTAAAAATCAAACCTGGGCTTGCATGATGGCTCAGTAGATAAAGGGTCATTCATCATTCCTTGCAAGCCCAGTGATCTAAATGAGATCTCCATAACCTTTACTCTATACAGCTGTCCTCTGGCTTCCACATATAGGCCAGGGCCTGAGAATTCCCCACCACCACCACATAAAAGCACACAGATGATAATAGACTAAATAAATAATTTTTATAAACAGAGTATGTGACCAGAAATAAGATAAGATTGATGGTTGGAATCACTTCTACTTTATTATTGGCCGTATTATTGGGACACAATAAGAGAAGAATTAAGGACAATTATAAACATTGTGGGAACAAAATGTTCTCTAATAGAATGAACATATGGAAATAAACTGATATATATAATAAACAAATATATTAACAGTTTTTAAAATAATTGAAATAAAGATTTAAGGAAAGATTTAGTCCAATTATCAAGAACTCAACAAAGGACATTATGCAATATAGTTAATCCAAATGAATGAATAACTAGATCTTGTCTAGTGGAGTCAGATATACTGAAGAGATTTTTCTTAATGAATTGACTTAGTATGAGATTCCCAGTTTCATTGAGATTATTTGTGACTGAGCTAGAATTTTCCCTATGTTCTAGCATACTATGAAAGATGAATTCTTATCTGGTATACTAGGAAGCCGAGATTTCAATGGTATTTATAAACCTAAATTATAACTTAATAATTCTCTTGTTTAACTTTTAATTCTTCTCCCTGTGTACATGAGGTGTGGTAACAAAGAATCAGAAATAAGAGTTCCATTTGGGAAAATTTGAAATTTCTGCTTTTAAATTAGGTAGGGGAAAGGACTTTGGAAGGAAATGTAATCATATTTTCTCAACACTCCATGCACCATGATTCTTTATTTCCTGGAATGACTACAGATCACTGGTTTAGAGCTATTAATATTTCTCCATAAAGTATGAAATCTAAATATTTATCTAAATTTCTTTGATGGATGCTTAATATTTAGTGGTGATTGCATTTAAACTTAAATGTCAAGTCATTTGGAAATATAATGAGATAATAAAAAGGTGTTTTATTTCATTGGTAGACAGGGTTCAAAGGCATGTATTTTACATTCTGTTCAGAAGAGTAAACAGATCCACCTGCTTCATCTCAGCTTTTCAAATCAAACATTGCATTATCACATCGTAGTTAGTAAGGTCAATTGGTGTGTGACTCTGCAAAGCATTGTATTCTGAGCATCAAAGGAAAGACCAGGGAAAGGCCAAGTTTGTCAGGTTCATTCATATTCAAGTTATCTTAAATTACCCACATTCCACCTTAAAAGCCTCCACAGATTCTGATATATATATCACTCCAATCGTGCATTTTCTCCTGAACCCACTCTTGGTAATCCCTCTTAAATGTAAGTAAATTATTTACAACAAAATAGATGGGAAGCAGTTGTATCCTATATTTAAAATAATTTTATCATGTTGGAACACATTATATTACTTGAAAAGGCACTCAACTTTTGGGCAATAATAAAACAAAAACTGATAGGAACAATTATCTGTGATTCAGGAAGAAGTAAATATTTAATGTATAAACATAAAGTTTATTTTAGGTCTTCTAAAATTATATTAGGAAATAAATGTTTTGCATACCATTGACCATAAGATAAATACTGCATAGGGTAATTGAACATTAAGCATCAACAGCAAAGTAAAAAGTCGGATTTTATCCAGAGCATAATTTTCTCAACATCTGACTTCTCAAA